TACCCCCAGTTCTGGGGACAGAGTTAGCGTTTTTAAAAACAACGCATGGGGACTCACCAGGATCTTTGTTTAACGCTGGTATAAAGTAGTTTTGGGCGATCGGCCCGGTGGTCTTCTAGGACTGATAAGTATATTGGTACTTCACAAACTGAGGAAACCTAAACCAACTAAACTCGGCCCGAGTTGAGAGGGTCGAACAAAAGACTTACATGCAGGCAAAGTCTTTATGTGGCTTTCTAAAGTATTCCGCCCAGTTAACTAGAAGTTTGTTTTCATCTACATTGGATTTCTAGTGTTATCTTCCATTATTACCACCAGTTTGGTCCTGTTCTCTGAATTAGCTGATGCAGTTCCATTTCTTGTACCTTCTTGCTCTGCCACACTTATCTGCTTAAGGTACCGTTCAAGTTAACGTCTAACTCATCATCTGAACCGTAAATCTAAAGAGATATAACATTTTACAACATGAACCACGGTGATTTTTGAGACCCGGTGGTTCCCTTCGTATGGGTACGGAGGTAGTAATACCAGACATCTAGGTATCCCTAGTAGTTGGGGAGGGCAATCCTTCGAGGTTATGGTGAATGTGTTCTGAGGAGGTCATCCGCACAGCTTCCATACATTTCTGCCCATTTCTGGACTAAATGACTTTGTCCAATGATGGATGGGATCTCATTCTTCAGGTACACCGCCGAAATTTAATGAGTCTATACCTCAGTCAAACAGTTTATTGCACCATGTTTAGTAAGGAAGTACTGGACCTTACCTTCAGTGGTTGACGGCGATAAAATCATGGTTCAACCTTTGGGCCCAACTGAGTCCCACTGAAAAGCAACTGGTGATTGGCACAAAGTTTCAAAAGGCACTCCTCACTATTGGTCGTGCCTAAAATGATCACATCAACATAATTGGGGTACTCTGTCAGTATTTGGAAGTCCACAAAAATCACAAGTAAACCATTAGTTCAATTCTCGAAGAAAATTATATCTCACAGAATCGAGCCAGAAGTGGTCTGTGCGTGGGTAAACATTGTAAATAAGGAACAATTAGTAGTTCTGTCAGTAAATCTCATAATGAAGATTGTTCAATCAAGCTTGAAAGCTGTAGCTTGAAGACATAGAGCTACGCGAAGACCAGTGCAGATGTCTGCATCAGCTGCACAGTTGCCTGAGCTTTCCTAGTCATAGCATCCACTCATCGGAGGACCGCAAACTTGGTTTCTGTAACCGGATGCCATTTTCCAGGTTTCGGGTTGTAGTGAATGTCCAGCATGCGTGCAACAGCAGTCCCTTGACCAAGTTTCTTCAGGGTTCGCGCGCCAAAGGCTTTGATAAAGACAATTGAGCGAGGTTTGAATACCGAAGGAGAGGAGGAGGAGGTGACTAGCGGGTTGCTATCGGTAACTTTCTTGGGTGCATGTTGGGCATCTCTTAAGCTGGGATTTTCAGAAGGGTCTCCAGAGAATGATGTGGGAGATTAACCGAGACTAGTATGGAAGGATTAGTGACATCCTCGATCGCAAGTTTCCGCAGCGATAAAGATGACCCAGATGGTTTCACCACGCGACCACAGCTGTGACATTTCTTTATGCGATTCGTGCTGAAGTAGTGTGAGGAGGCACACGGCGATCAGTCAAAGGCATTGAATCGTCTACCCAAAATCGGGACGGCGAAGTTTGGCGTATGTTCCTCGTGCTCCGATACGTCTGATATCTTGCCAACTGAAACATATGACGATCTTCGTGCGGCACATTCGGTTGAAGAATATCACAAACGGGTCACTCAGTGGAGATTCGCTTGAGCCTCCAGTTAGGACCAAATTCTTGTGTAAATGAGTGTATTTCGCGAATATTTGTCTTTTTAAGAGAGCTTTGCCAGAATGAAATCTTTTGTGGCAGGTCAGTCTATGAATATTTTAAACCGAGATAAACTGTATCGTTGTTTTCATTGAAAACCACAACAAACTTGTTTCGGTCTTAAATATAACACACAAGTGTGCTTCCCTATCAACCTACAATTGAGTTTCTCAAACACCACGGACTTCTTTTCCACCGGTGAGGTTTGAGGAACATATGTCGAACTCAGGAGGTTCATTATCAACGCCCTACCTTTGTAAGGCTCATCCAAGAGCGTCAAGTTCATGGTTTGAATACGTTCTTTCCCAGGCACACTGATCTAACCAATGGCGTGTAATTATTGGAGTTACCGTGGAAAATGTCAGCTGATCAGTCGGAATTGAATGCCTGAATACTAAGTATAACACTAGGAATTGGAAAACTTGTATAGGCATGGATTTATCGCCTCGTAATGCGAGTGAGCGCCTTTTGGTTCACAACACATCGGCCGAGTATGCAAGTGCACTGTCATTTTCACTGACGGGAGCTCGCAATCTAAACTCAGTTGAGTGATCGACTAGGGTGCATCTTGGACACAGTTGGCATGTTTAAAATTACAAAAGTTGGAAAAAAACCTGTCTGGCGATGCCACACCTCTAAACATCCTGCATGGAGAAATGAACTAAGTTGAACAACTGGAGATATGGTTGAATCTCGATAGGAAAGCGCAACCAAAAAGCTCGTGTGGATCACGAACGGCTTGCGTGCATATTTTTTGGCTAATAGTGTGCATACTGGATGATCATCAACTCATCAGACCCGAGATTCACACTGGGATTAGTCACGTGGTTGGGTTAAAACAGAAGTCCCCGTTGCCATTTTTAATCAGAACAGGAGCTTGTTTAAATAAGGTGTCATAAATGCGATGTTTCGGTTGCCACGGGTGAACCTTCTCAAGTTGGCGCATACAATACTACTACTAATAATAATAGTAACGAAAACTAAGGGTTGGGTGGATAATGTGAACAATAACAGATAATGTGGTGAGGTTGTCTGGATGCGCGTCTGCTGTGTTGTGTTGGGATGTGTGTGCATCCGGTTCACCAGGTTAGCCTATTCACCTGTTATATCAATTCTCTTCCTGCTTCGATAAGACAAAGCTGTCCGCGTAACCATCCACATGGCGCAGCAAGCGTTGTTAGTTCGCTTACAAAAAATCAGTCGAGAAGGTGATTTTGTCTGGGATTACAGCTTTTTAAACTTCGTAAACGCATTCAGTACTGTATATGTCATTCCGGAGTCGGATTTATTGTTATTTTTAAACTCCACATTTAAATCATGCACCGAACGGACATTGTCATTCTTCTTCTGTAGTTGACGATTCTTCAAATGACTCTGAACTTCGTTTGACTGGCGATTAGTTTATACTTCTATAAAAGTTAGTACTCAAGCGTGAGCGCGCTCGCCTTTTCAGAAATGAGTATACAGGTGCGTTCAGCTTACTCCTGTGGAGTGTTCTTAATGCGCTCTTTTTGCACGTCATATGTCCAGATTTCAAACCCCCCGGCATGACCAAGGTTATGTGCTCGTGATGAGCTCTAATCGGAGTGAAACTCGAGTCAAGCGCTCTGACGCAACCAAATAATTACTGCACTACATGATGAGGACCGATTAAAGGGGAATGATGTGGGGTGTAAACAGCTTGGAGTGAAGACAGTCAGCGACACTTTTTCCCAACCTCTTAGTTGGACTTTCACACTTTACTGCTCAAAAGTGTCGTGCTGGCTTGACGTTAGCAGCTAATCGAAGTCCTTACTGGGTAAGAACGGCCGTCAGTTGGCTGCGAAGCAATATATCTTGGTGATACATCGTTCCTGTAGTCTTCACATTCGCACTTTTCTTCAAATAAAGTTGCAGTCTCTTGACCTGATAATATGATAAACTTCACAACATGGCTGTGCGTTCACTTGCACTCTTGAGATTATCCTAGAAACATCAAGATAACAAGTCATTAAGGTCACAGTAATGTTAGATCAACTGGCAAAGTAAACACACGATAACCGCACGTCCTTATTATCCATCCAAGCTCCGATACCTATTTTGACCTAATAGGGGAGGTTTGGCCGAGTGAACAAGTGCAACCAAAATGCAAGGTCATCAAGCCAACCGGGAATGACGTCGGAATCCAGTGAAAAAGCCTTGGAGACGGTTGTATTAGGGACACCACCTGTCCGCTGAAGAGGGTAGGTAGAGGGACTTTCAGCGCTGTTGGACGCGAATTTTTAGTAAATCGTCCTTACTGGAATAGACGGCATATGGGGTGGTTATCTCAAAGGATATCTCTGCAGCGAAGAGCTACATACGCCTTAACACTGACGGGGCATATGAGTGCTGTGTTTCTTCAGAAGGACCGAGAAACAAGACACTTCTTAAACACTATCCTTGTTAGTTTACTGCATTCTCTATTTTAATCTGTAACACTGGCTTTTAAACCCGTAGAAATAACGCCGTATTGTAGTATCGTTTTAAATGCATGTCTTCTCACATTGTGCGCCCTGAACTCGATTAAGATTTCGACCTGTGGACGGAGCCAGTCTATGCTGAAAAGCCGAGAAACATTGTACGGTTGTTTCATCGGGCGCATGTATCTCGCATAACTTCAGGGAGTTTCGAACCCGCAACATCCCGGTTAGCAGTTTGAATATAGATAATCGACACGAACAATGTCCTAGGTGAGTGTTTATTACACTGTTGATCGACTGCTCGCGGTCGGTGGTTGAGTTGTTCAAACTAACAGCCAAGTGGTCGCAGGTTCGTGAGATGCACAGAGCTGTTTTTTTCTTGGATGAGCTTCATTGACCTGATAAAATCTCCACACGCTAACAACGATACTCATTATGTTGGTTTGAGTTACTGAAATCCGGTACTGAAATCGGGATAAGCCAGCCCCCGCTATCCCGAAAATTGGGTTCCCCAGTTACACTGCCCCCTACTTGTGAGTCAGAATTTGGAGTCAGGCTGCGGCTAGGGTACCGGAACCAAACTGTACACTCTCCCGTTGCCTTGTGATCAAGATGTTGAGGTTAAGGGCTCAAATATGAGCACTTTAAACAAACCTTCATCCCCGGCCCAGGCGACTCGGATGTGCTTGAGTCTGTTTACTCACCGTTCATCAACTTTTCTTCAAACATTCGGCTGGTCTGCAACCCAGCCCTGTCTTTTCGACAGAACACATCCACACAACGAGCTTCCACTTTCATACCACTGAGAGACGCAAAATCTCGGTGTTGACGCCGCTTGTAGACGAGTCAAATAGGCTTTCATACAGTCTCAAATCTTACAAAGTTTATCTGCAAGTTTAAACCGCGGACAAACGTTATAGGGGTCAAGTATTCATCATCTGAAAACAGAATTTCTACTGTGGAGTTTTATCTTTTTCACAAGGCCATACGAGTGGTTTTGCTGGTGATGGCTCCCCTTTACTCAGATATTCTATGGTTTTTTCACCCTGACTTTTCTACATCCAGCGCTGTAAAGCCGTTCAGCATGATGTCATAAATTCAGCGCATTTTTTCCTCCCTTTTATATGGGTGAATTTGTGTACCGGCTGAGCAAAATAATACGACTAACTACAGCGTGAGACCGCGCAATTTACCTGCACATCAATTCATAAACAATCAAAGCGTTCCCAGAGATTCATGGGTACCGCGATTCTTTTTTCTTTAGAATTCCAATAATACAATTATCATCACTGCCGCATCTTTAGATTTGGGTGGTGCATGACCTATGCCGTTTTTACGGAATGACAAGTAGGCTGAAGTTGTCGATGCTCGGAGAACCTGTCAGGTATGTTGACCAAATGCCTTCTAGGCCGGTCGTGACCAGCGTTTTTCCTGCTTCGATTCGCTGAAACGCCCGACAAATGGTTGTAATTTGAAGCAAGACTATATGCATATTGTACTAGGGTTAAAACGATGCCCTTGTATTTTAAAAACTTCGGCCTACAGTAAGATCATTTCATCATCACCTTATATTGTGCGCTTCTTCACTGGCATCACGCAATAAACTCAACGTCTGTTGGCTAGCCACCCCTTGCGCGGTCAGATAAACGACAATACCCGTCAGAATTTTCGGTTTTGCCGTTTCTGCCTTCAGGCTTATTCTGGCATCTGGACCAAATGCTCCGGCGTACACAAAGCTCAAAATTATCGCGCAGCAATGAGTGAAATTGAAAGGAGGTATTTGAAGCCCGCTTTCACGTCAAAATAATGGGAAAGTATTAATTGTTGGTCTGTTCACCGAGCTTGGCAGTTGGATTACAAATGTTTCATCACCAATCGAGGTGACATCAGCGTCAACCCCCGCACTGACGATGTCACCTCGATTGTTGACGAAACGTTTGCAACTTAACTGTCAAGCTAGGCGAACAGACCAATCAGTGCACCCGTGATACCTATATTCCACAACATTGTCAATGGAAAAATATGTCGACAGAGTTTCAGCAAATCACATCTGCACGGTAAGACATTAACAAAGACATATGCGCAGTCACAATACTATAAAACAGCTACAGGAAAAATTCCTTGTGGCATCCTTTTCGAACGGTCATCTTGCTAACAACTTAACGGGTTAACGGAAATATGGGGACAAACGGGCGTCTGCTAGATGCCATAGTGGGGAGAAAGAGAACTACCAGCTGTAATATGTCCGCAGGTTCTAGAGCAGGGAGACAAATCACTACCTGAGGAGGATACAAGGTTGGTTCCATAGAACTGAGAGTAGACAAAACGTTTTTAACAGTTCAGAAAAAAAGATATGTAGACTATTCAACACTATAAGAAACAAACGGAAATGAATAAAATAAAACGTTTTATGAACACATGCCCACGCAGCTCTTCATGAAGATGGAGACTGTCCTAAATTTTGAGAAGACTGATTCACTGTGTAACTTTCAAAATAGTATAGGAAAGAATATAATCGCTTCAAGGTACTTATAGCCGTTATCGATAAGAAATTGCTGTTCGCAGCTGAAGAGGGTAGGCTCCGACTAGGATTTCGGACAAACAAAACAAAAGGAAACATCCAAACTGGGAGTTTCAGCTAGGTTCCAGGTGATTCTCTCGAAAAACCAAATTAGTTTGCAAATGAGTGTATTTCACTGAAAACGAAAGAATATTTTGATAGGTGACAGAGCGACAAAGTTATCTGGAGGGTGCCACAAGGTATAAATTCCTAAATCCGCTGATACGGAAGGCCATTGTGGGAGACGCCCAGCGGAACTAGCATTTCTGAAGTCATTAATAGAATTAGTGGTAAAGAAAGGGTGACGAAACGGCCAATCGAAGTATGCCTGGGTTACAGAAAAGAAAAGGAGGTAGTCGTTCTCTGAGTTTTGTGTTCTTGGGGTGAAGGCCAATGGACGGTAGATTGATTTAGATGCATTGGGACTTGTCACTGAACAGTAATAATGGTAATGAAAATTTAAGGGAAAGGCGATAAAATACGACAAGAGGGAAAGTACCAAAATACACAAGAAAAATTTATATTTCAAGTCTTCTCTGAATATTTCTATAGACAGACTGAGATGGGGCAGGAGTGAGATTTTGATGAAATGTCTTGTATTATCTCGGTCACCAAAAGTTCCAGGACAGCTAGAGGGAGAGACGGTCGGATAATAGATATCATTGGCACTGAGTACACCGCAAGTGTAAACCGTATTCGACATGTCTTGCAAACGACTTTATGGGCTTATTAGGTGATTCGCTGGTATGCTCAAGGCTGAAGTTTTCAACTTCAGTTATCTTGACCATTCGCTGTCTTGTAAAATAGCTTAAAACGTGGGAAGGTACTTCAGTTCACTGTGCAAAACATGAAGAAAGAAAGCCCGCCGGTTTAAGTAACATCACTTTACAGTTGCCCAATGGCGCATCTCCAGTTTTTGCAAGTCTTGGTACACTTTGTTGGGAAGCAATGTGGACTCACCGGAATATATTACGCCAGAACAGGAGGATGGCCGTTCAGAGGAGAATGGTGTGACTATGAACAAAACACCTATCTCGCAAAACCCCGAAACTGCACTTTTCTATTCCATTTCAAAAGATAACCAGACTTTTTAAAACACACATCGTGGGAGAAAATTCCAGGATCTTATTTACCGGCAAAAGTGATTAGCATAGGATGGCTCTGGGAATTTCGCAAACGGCCAAGCTAAAGCACCCTAAAGTACAAAAAACGTCCCATCCGTCGTGCTCGCTTAGAAATGTTTGACAGCTCTACAGCGCGCACTGATTACGTCTCAAGATTGGTGACCAAACATTCCTAAGCAAACTGTCAAGCTCGGTGAAAATAAAAGCAGCCATCTGATTTTCAAATAACGTTTGAATAAAGTCGTTGCACACGGCAGGGACGCACTCGGGGTTGTTAGGGATAATTTAAATGATTAGAAGGATAAACAAGTGGATATCCACATAGGTAAGAGTTGAGAGACCGAGCGACAAAAGTTCCCATGCCTAAAGTCGAGTTCAGTCAGTGTAAAAACATCAGTACTCGCTGGCCTTGTCGGGAACCAACCGAATGACTGAAAGGTACCAAATGATGTGCGTACAGTAGTAGGTTGTTGGTCGCCCGTTTTATATGGTTCAAGTAAAGGGAAAAAGGAAAATAGTGAGGTTATTCAATTTAGGGATTCCGAGAAGGTTTACAGGGAAATTCCACGGATTCATTTGGTACCAAGTTGGAAACAAAAATCACACGCCGGTGGAGATAGGCATCATCTAGTTATAACACGATTTGTGTGGAAGTTGAAGTTCTGGCATCTAGGTGACGCTGTACCATGGATTTGAAGTTGACTAAAGGGTTCGCTCCAGATGAACAAATGTCGACTAGGGAAATTCTTGATCACAGAGACGGGTGATCAGGATACTGCCACGGCAAACAAAGGGTTAAGCAGATGCGGTTGTCATAGAATAGTGGATTAGAGGCGGATAGTACATCGCGGTGGACAGTGGGGAAAACGTATATAATGCTGAACCTTTTCTGCATAGCCGTAGCGAGTCCAGCTGTAACTTAATACACCACTCTCTTAGGTTTTTGGTCACTCCGATTTTCGATCTTTACTGTCATGGAGCTTGGCGTACTGATCCGAGTGTGACCAACCTGATAAGGGTGTCCCTCAAACCGCCTCCATTTAGCTATCGTTAGGTCTAATAGGACCTGGGCATCACCATCGTTGACAGCAATATAACCAGGAGGGAAGAAAGCCTTGGTGAAGAGTGGAGGGAAGAAGGAAGTTTAGGGAAGTAGCACGCAGAAGCTCATTGTTCTCAAGAAAGAGCATCGAGAATAACGTGCCTACACCTTGAATTTCATTGAAATAGACATATGTGAGCGTCGAAATAAGGCGCCACCAATAGGATCAATGCTAATGTCATTTGTGAACTTCACCCGACACAGGTTTAGCGAGCAACAGCAAGCGAATTTTACCTAAAACAGTTTGGCTAGGAAGTAACAATGTGCACGACACTGGAATCGGTTGCGTCCCACGTTATGCAGGGTTTCCAAAGACCTGCAAACAGGATCTCATGGGCTGCAGCTGGGAAGCTGTGGAAATTCCACAGCACTCAATATGATTGTACCCGCTTTCATGTCATGTCTCCATACCATTGTAACGGTGATACTACTGAAAGGGGGTATGCGAGTAGTATGTTTTCTTGTAAATTCGCTTTGCTTGAAAAGGGAAGGGAGATCTGCTGCGGAAGTTGTGGAGTCGCTTTGTAGCATTTGCTTGGATTCGAGCAACAGTCAATGAATATCCAGGAATGTTCAAGAAGACGCGTTCAAGAGAAGATGGATGTTCAGGTTTTGCAAATAAGATTCATATGACAGCTTTGCTTACCTGTCCAATAGTCTGTAACTGATCTAGTTGGCATTTTCTAATAAATAACTCCACAGCGAAGGCCTTCTCCCTTTCACCATGACCTGCCTTCTGCGAACCCTTTGTCAACAGTCGCTTGGAACAAACAGCAACGTTCCCTTCTGTAAGCGGTGGTTGGGCATACTTGGCACATGTCCCAACGACCTCAACCTGGTAAGTGTAATCCGCCATTTTAACGGATTGGATTCGTTGCTAACTGACCGTTTACTCGCCAGATCGTTTAGGGATCACTGCAATAAGCTTGCTGTGCAACGGAAGCACGGATAATCAAACCATTAGGACTTGGACACCGATATCCGGCACTGTTGCTGAAAGCAACCGGACTTCAGAAAGAGCACAAAAGAAGACAGAAAAAGTTCAAAGTACAACTCTCGAAGTCTTTCTGTTTCATATGTTAACCAATTTAACATCCTTTGACAAAACAGGTCTTATCTGTTTTTTTAAAGCTATGTGATGTTCCTTGTGAGAACAGGGTCGCACGATGGGCAGTTGTGTTGATCAACAGCGCATCACAAACTGGTCAGTAAGACAAAAACCTAAGTCTAAGTTACATTTGCAGGAGTTGTGATGTCACTCGACCCGCTATGTCACGCCAAAGTGTGAGTGACGTTTGTATATTAAGGACCAAAGAATGAACAAAGCGGCCAGTCGTTTTGACCTTGAATTTGACAGGAGCAGCTGACCCTTCGTTATTCAAGGGCGAACGACAAGTAGGACACGTTCAGTGTGTTCTTTTGTGTGGTTTGCATCAAACCACGTGACTAAACGTATGTTGTCACTCAATTTATTTGGATGAGCTCGTGAACGAATGATTACCTTTACTTTGTTAGGTAATGCTGGACTAATGTTGTGCTCAATACATTTGATCACCTAAGGCTTGCACCACATTTCGTTATATTCTACCGGAGTTAAAGCGCCATCATCCGCGATGTACGTCAGAAAGAAACTTCTCTTTGCTAAGTCTTAGGAAAATGCTTTTTGCAAGCAATAATTTAACATATTGTGAGAAAATATGCTACTCACAAGGTTGCTGAAAACCACTCGATAACCCATGCTCAGTTTCATCCTTCTTGGGGCCCATCAGGTAGACGCAGTCCCTAAGTTTCCGTTAGCCTCATATTCCACCGGAATCCAAATTGCGCGAAATTCCCCTAGAACACTCATTTGCGTATCAATTTTTTCCACGATTGATCCACCTGGAACCAAGTTGAATTTGTCGCTTATGAAGTTCTTCTTCAGCAGAATGTGCTGCACCAGGCCGACTCAGTTTCAGCTGGGCGGAAACAGTCGTGAGCTGTCGAAACGTTTCCAGCAGCCTTATGTACGGTGTATTACTTCTATACACTGCATTGTGGTACATCGAATATGGTGCCAATTGAAACATGCGTTAGCCTCTTGCAGCACATTCATCTGAAGAACAACATAAATGAGGGATTCAGCCGAGTCCCAAGTGTATGCTGTTTAGAAACCAAATTGTTATGAAGCTGAGTGCATTAGTCGAATAATTTGGCAAATCGTGCATTAACGACAACCGTAAAAGTTTCGACTGAGCGTCTTACTTTAGAAAGAGAGGCGTATAACGCTAGAGTTTCTGGTCGAACTGACTGAGCTCACTGGCATTTAGCAGTCGAATCTAAGGGAAACTGTACATATGAAAAGATAATTTCAAAGGTACTTTTGACAGTCATGTTTTTTCGGAGGCTGGAAGTAGTGAATCTCCCCGATAAATGTCATAATCTTCTTAGACTTGACGAAGATTGCAGCTAGGCCAAAACCTGCATCAGATCCCGCATGTAGGCTCAGAGGCGTTAAACAGTCTCCCCCAAACAGACAATCTCCTGTGCAAGTCCCAGCCGGCAACAGTGACGACAACATCTGGCAACATCCCTCCACCATTTTTATCGATTTTACTCTTTTATGAGGCAGAGAATCCCGTGAGCTAACCACCCTGGTTGATAGTGTGCCATTCACCTCAACATCCTTTTTGTTTTGCTTAAAACACTATCCTTGAGCTCAGCGAGCGTCTTGATCTACCTGATATAGTCCATTAAAAGTCAAAATTATTTTCGTGAAACCTGGTTAACAGAGGAGGGAGTTCTGTTTATCCATGACCTCTGAGGACCTTAACTATCTTTTAGCTTTTTACATCATGTGTCCACGGCGTACTTGTTGTTGAGTATTTACAAAGTGGTCGCAGTGAAGTGGCTTGTAAGTAAGCAATTCAAAGTAAGTAGGGCATGAATTTCCAAATACTCAACCTAACCCCAGCTGGATCGCTCGTTTATGCCATTCTTCAACTGAATGTGTCGCAAAAGGCCACCGCATGTTTCGTTCCGTACTACTTTCGAGATATCGCAAAATGGTGGATTGTTTGTTCACTGAGCTGGGCAATCAAATTGCAATCAAATTTCTCAGCTCGGCGAACAAACCAACGACCTTCTACGCTACCTAGGCTACCAACATTTTCCATTGTAGCATATCGCAACATATTGACTAGACGGAACACATAACTCATATGGTTTCTGGAAACTTTTCAAAAACCTACACAATTGCATTAGATAAAGAACTCATCCTGGAGGAAACTGAGTCGCTCAGCAGTTACAAGAAACTTGTATGGGGTGCTCCTAAATGGCACACTTGAACCGTTGGTCGCACCGTTAGCAAACCCTGGGAAATCGTTTTCGCCCAAAAACGGAAAGCTACGTGAATAAGCCTGATAACGCAAAAAATATTACAGTGGCCGTTAACTTTACATAAATATTTCGGCTACATTCCTCACATTTCCGTAAACATTGACACCGCTCCACAGATTCTCCGGGGCTGTGTACTTCAAATTGTCTGAAAAACTAAAACCTGAGACATATTGCGTCGGAACAATACGGTACATACGCCACTGTCACAACAAAGAATAACAAATTGCACTTCAGTATTACGTTGATCGCATCGTGGCGCGTCACATAGTGTTTTGTCTCTGGGCGCCTGCGCATGGTTGTAAAAACACAAAATTCTTGCATGGATTCGGATGTACTACTGTGCATGTATTCGTGTATACGACGCAAAAGCGAAGGAATAAGCTCGGAAGACAAACTCACAGACTCCTAGTGGCAACCACTGGCCGATCTGCTTATGAGGACATCTCAGTATACAACAGCATTCTATTGAAGAATGGGGTGTCATCCGTCAGTTGATTATCGTTTCAGTATTAATCCGCCCTCCACTGTACAGTTTGAGACCGTCATATTCACAGGAGCTATCGCCCTAATGAATACCGATATATACACAAATAGTTACGGAAGCTCCGTGGGTGATTTGTGGTAAGTCTTTACTCACCGGATCTTCTTAGCCAGTACACTTCATCTCATGGTAAATAGTTGTACGTTTTCAGATCCCTTTTAAATTTCCTGCTTAAAGTTGTAGGTCAGTATCGTTGGTCAGGAATTTTTGGCGGGTTTTACTCACTTTGTCCCAAGAAATAAGTAACTTCGTAGATGGTGAAAATAACTCCGGTCTACTGGTCAGTCCTCGTTATTCACCCAAAGGTTTTTCTCATTCTTTGTTCCCAGATCTATTTTCTCGCTAGTAGTCTAGGACGCAGTGATGTGTTAATACGCATTTAAACGATTGCGATGGACTGAGTTGTCGTTATAACGAAATTCAACCCTACATTTAGCCTTCAACTTGGACATGAGACACCATTAACGCCAAACATATTGGAAGGCGGCCAAGGGGAGTTCGCATAACCCAAGGACTTTCTATAATTAAGTATGATGCCACAAAGCTTGCCATAACTGTTCGCCATTTATCCAGAGCCCATAAAGTGCTCTGGTTTTTTAATCTTGTGTAGATCAACTAAGTATATGAAAAAATAGAATGTACCATCGGAAGTCTAGTCCGAGCATTCTCATACAAACTTGGTGCGGAAAACCAATATCATTTCTTCTTGTCAGTAGACAGAATGAAATTCATTTCGTGTGTACTGGAATGTAGAATGCGGTAGTGGAGTACAGTGCTCTCGCTGGAACAGCGAGTGCTCTCGGGACTATCCAATACTGCGCTCGGGCTGCTTTTTTATGCCACTTCACAACAGTTTTCATGAAAACAACTTCATTAGTTAGTCACTTTATCATCTGGCGGGATGTGAAACTTGCCACTGTCATCTTGAGGACTCGTAACCGAAAGGGAACCAGAGTTTTGTGTGCCTCATTGTTGTTCTGAGCTAAGCCGACGATGCTTGTACTTGACGATTCTGCAATCAGGACAGTGCACTTTTATCTTGTGCTTCGGCTGAGTCGGTTGCCATTACTTAAGACAGGTTGCTCTGGGGCTTGTGAGCCTCCTCAGTTGTCTGACTCTTCGTAAATCTCCATACAACTTGCTTAATCTTTTGACCCAAAAGCCCTATTAGTAGCCAGTATTCTCTAAAATAAGATATGACTCGCAGACTGGTATACCTTGTCACTACCTTATGATCAAAGGGCTCCATAGCCGTGGGGATAAACCGCATTATCCGAAGTGACCCCGATGTCTTTAGGCTTCCTCATCAGACAGCTGAATCCAGATTTTTATTCACGATAACTATGAGTGTTTCCCCAAAAGAATAAGCCTGATAACACCTGAATGTTCTACAATGTTAACTCTCTGGCACGGATAGCCCTGTGGTCAATAACTTCACTGCAGAAGCTTTCTGTTAACGTGCTCTCCTGCATAGCTTCAGCCGATTATTTCAACATTTTAGGAAGGGATATCTGCTATGTTGCGTTAGCTGAGGACATAAAAGTATGGTTTGTGCCTTCTGTGGGTGATCACAAAAGGTACTTTCCAACCTAAGCAGCCAATCTGCACCTCGTTACTGTAATGCAGGTGACAGTTGAACACAAGCGAACACAAACGGAAATGAAACCACAGCAGAGCAGTTAGTCATAATCAAGTTCGAACAAGTCGAGATTTGGTTGGATTCAGACTGACCGAAATTACTCTCTAATAAATAATGATTGCCTACATCGGTGCTCACCTGAGTCAGAACACTAAAGATCGATAAACCACTATGATTCTACCAACGGATTTTGGGGAAATTTCGCTTCCGTGTGTGTAAGTGACACATGTGTAAGTAACACATGTATTCTACAGACAAACTGACGAACAGACGCGCGGACAAATGAACTGAATCAGCTGAATGTATTGGGTAATCAGTCAGGAACACAGACGACTGTCGTGATGACCTTGACTGAGGCACGGGCAGCTGGCTTCTGCTAAATCAAGGGTGACCGACCAGTGGGGCACGTGCAAGCTGTGTTGATGTTAGATTTGTGTCAAACCATGTGAC